CTAGCGCTGCTGCGGCGGCGGCGGTGACGTCAACCCATTTCCCTCCCCGGCCGCCGCTGCGGCTCTTCTCCTCTGGGCTTGCTGCCACCGCGACCTTTTTGCAGTGCATTTCCCTCCCCGGCCGCCGCTGCGGCTCTTCTCCTCTGGGCTTGCTGCCACCGCGACCTTTTTGCGGTGCATTTCCCTCCCCGGCCGCCGCTGCGGCTCTTCTCCTCTGGGCTTGCTGCCACCGCGACCTTTTTGCGGTGCATTTCCCTCCCCGGCCGCCGCTGTGGCTCTTCTCCTCTGGGCTTGCTGCCACCGCGACCTTTTTGCGGTGCATTTCCCTCCCCGGCTGCCGCTGCGGCTCTTCTCCTCTGCGCTTGCTGCCACCGCGACCTTTTTGCGGTGCATTTCCCTCCCCGGCCGCCGCTGTGGCTCTTCTCCTCTGGGCTTGCTGCCACCGCGACCTTTTTGCGGTGCATTTCCCTCCCCGGCCGCCGCTGTGGCTCTTCGTGCCCACCCACGCTACAGAATTTCTGCATTCAAACCTACCATGCACAAAAGAAAGATGAAAAGGGAGACATCCTTGCTCAAACCACGACATTCGTTGCAAACGGAAGGACTAGTTCAAAGCAGGAAAATAAGGGAGTCCAAAGATATGGAGGATCGGGTCGAGAAATATGGTTGTCATGGTGGAAGTTGTCCGTTGGAGATATGTTTGGTTGGAAGAGGTTGGCAGATGTTGATCCAGTTGGTGGACAGTTTGTGGACAGTTGGTGGACAGTTGGTGGTGACCGGCCGGTTTTATTGTCGTCGCTGGGTTTTGTGGATGGTAGCTAGCGTTATCTAACCAGCCAGCAGCTGCAGCCAGTTATATTGCCTAAATGGGCTACGCTACGCAGCTATCAGCCAGCAGCCAACAACCAGCATCAGCGAGTGTGCGCGTGTCACGGCTGTTGCCGCGCGTGTACAGTCTGTCGTGTTTTCGTTTGTGGTGCCCACAGCCCTGGTTGTGCACAATTGATTTTCATTTGTTTGGGGATTACCTAATTAAGGGGAGGCTACACCTTATTAAATAATAGATGAATGAATAAAGCTGAGCCATGATATCTATTTCCGCTTTATTTATTTACTTATTTATTTACTCTGTTTTAAATATCTTATTATAGATTAGTAATGCGCCTCAGCCTAATAAGCTAAGGCGTGCATTAGGGTGCC